ACCTAGATGCCCATCAGCAGACGAATGGATGAGGAAGCTGTGGTACATATACACCATGGAATATTACTCAGCCATTAAAAAGAATTCATTTGAATCAGTTCTAATGAGATGGATGAAACTGGAGCCCATTATACAGAGCGAAGTAAGCCAGAAAGATAAAGACCAATACAGTATACTAACACATATATATGGAATTTAGAAAGATGGTAACGATAACCCTATATGCAAAACAGAAAAAGAGACTCCGATGTATAGAACAGACTTGTGGACTCTGTGGGAGAAGGTGAGGGTGGGATGTTTCAAGAGAACAGCATCGAAACATGTATATTATCTAGGGTGAAACAGATCACCAGCCCAGGTTGGATGCATGAGACAAGTGCTTGGACCTGGTGCACTGGGAAGACCGAGAGGGATCGGGTGGAGAGGGAGGTGGGAGGGGGGACCGGGATGGGGAATACATGTAAATCCATGGCTAATTCATTTCAATGTATGACAAAAACCACTACAATGTTGTAAAGTAATTAGCCTCCAACTAATAAAAATAAATGAAAGAAAAAGAAGCAACAGTTAGAATTGGACATGGAACAACAGACTGATTCCAAATTGGGAAAAGAGTATGTCAAGGCTGTATATTGTCACCCTGCTTATTTAAGTTCTATGCAGAGTACATCATGCAAAATGTCAGGCTGGATGAAACACAAACTGAAATCAAGATTTCTAGGAGAAATATCAATAACCTCAAGTATGTAGATGACACTACTCTTATGGCAGAAAGTGAAAAGGAACTAAAGAGCCTATCGATGAAAGTGAAAGAGGAGACTGAAAAAGATGAGCTAAAACTCAACATTCAAAAAACAAAGATCATGGCATCCGGTCCCATCACTTCGTGGCAAATAGATGGGGAAACAATGGAAACAGTGACAGACTTTATTTTTTTTGGGCTCCAAAATCACTGCAAATAGTGACTGCAGCCATGAAATGAAAAGACACATGCTCCTTGGAAGAAAAGCTATGATAAACCAGGACAGCATATTAAAAAGCAGAGACATAACTTTACCGACAAAGGTCCTTCTAGTCAAAGCTGTGGTTTTTCCAGTAGTCATGTATGGATGTGAGAGTTGGACTATAAAGAAAGCTGAGCACTGAAGAATTGATGCTTTTGAACTGTGGTGTTGGAGAAGACTCTTAAGAGTCCCTTGGACTGCAAGGAGATCAAGCCAGTCAATCGAAAAGGAAGTCAGTTCTGAATATTCCTTGGAAGGACTGATGCTGAAGCTGAAACTTCAGCACTTTGGCCACGTGATGTGAAAAATTGACTCATTGGAAAAGACCCTGATGCTGGGAAAGATTGAAGGCGGGAGAAGGGGACGACAGAGGATGAGATGGTTGGATGGGATCACCGACTCAACAGACATGAAATTGAGCAAGCTCTGGGAGTTGGTGATGGATAGCGAAACCTGGCGTGCTGCAGTCCATTGGGTCTCAAAGAGTTGGACATGACTGAATAACTGAACTGAACTGAAGCAGATATTAGCTGTGGGACACATGGGACTTTTAGTTGTGGCATGTGGGATCATTTTTAGTTGCAGCATGCAAACTCTTAGTTGCAGCACGTGGGATCTAGTTCCCTGACCAAGGCTCAAACCCAGGCCCCTGCACTGGGAGCATGGAGTCTTCACCACTGGATCACCAGGTAAGTTTCTCAATGTTTAATTTGAACATAAGACAACATTTAGCAAGACCTTGTTACATTTGCATGTGTGCTCAATCATTCAGTAGTGTTTGGCTCTTTGCAACCCCATGCTAGGCTCCTCTGTCTATGGAATTTTCCAGGCAAGAATACAGAAGTGGGTTGCCATTTCCTCCTCCAGGGGATCTTCCTGACCCAGGGATCGAACCTGTGTCTCTCGTGTCTCCTGCACTGGCAGGATTCTTTACCACTGTGCCTCCTGGGAAGCCTGCTTTATCAAGGAGGCAAAAAACATAAAAACAGGTACAAATTTTATTATCAGGGATACGGCATAATATGTAGTAGAGCACATGCTTGTGTGCTTAGATGCTAAGTCATATCTGATTCTTTGTGACCCCACGGACTGTAGCACGCCAGGCTTCCCTGTCCTTCACTACCTTTAGGAGTTTGCTCAAACTCATGTCCATTGAGTTGGTGATGCTATCTAATCATCTCATTCTCTGCTACCCTATTCTCCTTTTGCCTTCAAACTTTCCCAGCATCAGGGTCCTTTCCAATGAGTTGGCTCTTTGCATCAGATGGCTGAAGTAGTGGAGCTTCAGCTTCAGCAACAGTCTTTCCAATGAATATTCAGGGTTGATTTCCTTTAGGATTGACTAGTTTGATCTTCTTGCTGTCCAAGGGACTCTCAAGAGTCTTCTTCAGCACTCAGCTTTCCTTCTGGTCCAGCTCTCACATTTGTACATGACTCCTGAAAAACCATAGCTTTGACAATGTGGACCTTTGTTGGCAAAGTGATATCTTGTCTCTGCTTTTTCCTTCCAAGGAGCAAGTGTCTTTGAATTTCATGGCTGTAGTCACTGTCTGCAGTGATTTGGGAGCCCAAGAAAATAAAATCTGTCACTGCTTCTGCTTTTTCACCTTCTATTTGCCATGAAGTCATAGGACCAGATGCCATGATCTTTGTTTTTTGAATGTTGAGTTTCAGTCTCACTTTTTCATTCTCCTCTTTCACCCTCATCAAGAGGCTCTTTAGTTCCTCTTCACTTTCTGCCATTAAAGCAGTATCATCTGCGTATCTGAGGTTGTTGATATTTCTTCTGGCAATATTGATACCAACTTGTGATTCATTCAGCCTGGAATTTTGCATGATGTACTCTGCATATAAGTTAAATAAGCAGGGTGACTATATACAGCCTTATCATACTTGTTTCCCAATTTTGGACCAGTCTAACTGTTGCTTCTTGACCTGCATACAGGTTTCTCAGGAGGCAGGTACAGTGATCTGGTACTCCCACACTGGCTATGTATAAACACAGAATAAGAGATCTGGGGGTCCCAATAGATATAAGACACTAATGAAAAAGGGAAGATGCAGAGGTTTATCTCTGATTATAACCTTAAGATTGAATCCTCATTTAAAATTTTAGTGACGTGTGTGTGTATGTACGCATGCATACATGCTCAGTTGTGTTGGACTCTTTGCGACCCCATGGACTGTAGCCCACCAGGCTCCTCTGTCCATGGGATTCCTCAGGCAAGAATACTGAAGTGGGTGGCCATTTCCTTCTCCAGGGGACCTTCCAGACCCAGGGATCAAACCAGTGTTTCTGGCATCTCCTGCATTGGCAGGCAGATTCTTTACCACTAGTGCCACCAAATAAGTTGTTATTTCACCAGCTTCTGTTCACTCGTCCCTATGCTTCCATCTTCCCAGGTAGTGGGAGTGCTTTCCAAACTAAAATAACTCAGTTATCTTCCCCCAACACCAAGGTGGAGTGTGAAAACCACGTCCTCCAAACTTTCCAGCTGAAATATTTAGATGGATTGTACTTCACTCTGAAAGATGAACTGTTCATCCATCCAAGAAGTACTGATTTTACTCTGCTCACGGCACTGCCTCGGGTGCAGGAAGCACACGTCTGGCTGGGTGGATTGGACCCCAACCTTCATGGAGCTTGCAAGTCTAGTAGGGATCAGAAGACAAGGGGACAGGTGAGGATAAAGAGACACATCACAGAGCCAGGAAGTTTGATGCAAAGTAGGAACTTCGATGATTTGGACAATGGATCAGTCCTTCAGACCATATGGTCACTCTTTCTTTTTTTAAAACTTTTTACTTTACATTGGAGTAGAGCTGGTTAAAAATGTTATGATAGGGTCACTCTTTTTACTTGAAATAGTGTTAACTGCACCAAACACACGTCCCTGAAGCAGGCATGAATGATGTTTTGTTATCCACCATGCTCTCTGCCTTGGCAAGTCAGGCAAATTGGCCATGATTAAAATCCACTACATTCAATACCACTCTGACCCAGATGAGTTTACTCTGTCTAGTTTGGGGTCCCATGTGTTAAGCAAAGTTACAAACCATTCAGAAACAAGATATACGAGGAATGGTAAAAATAATAAAATCATTAAGCTGATGGTAGGACGTTGCTGGTGTTTTAAATAATGGCCTTCAGAATTTCACATGGTAAATGACTGGTGTTAGGCCGCATTTCTCTTCATTTGAGTCTTAAAGTGTTGAGACAGTCAGCTCCCCCAAACAAAAAAAGGTAAAATCATTAGCATTATTTCTAATATTATGTTGAGGCTGCAGTGAGACAAACACACAAACAGAACAGTGTGCAATATCAGGATTGGGAACACAGTTAAGCCAAGAAGCCTAGATTCAAACTTCATGTTTAGTTTCTAAATTGTTTCCAAGTTACATTTTGCCAAGTTTGGATGTCAAGAGAAAGAAAAAAAGGTCCCCCGAGGCCACACGCAGAGGAAGGACTGTAGACACAAACTGACTAACATTCTGCTTCCTGCTTTTGGTTTGATTTGATTCTTTGGGAAAAAACAAAGCAAAACAAAAACAGATATAAGAATTGCTATGTGTAGGCCAGCCCGATGCTAGCATATCTCAGCTTTGAAAAGCTTCTGGGATTTTTGTCTCTTTGTAATGATGTTTACCGCTGTACTGAAGAAGAGGAACAGAACCCAGAGGTTGGTTTCCCTAGCTCCACAGCACCCCCGCCAAGGAAAGCACTCTCTCTTGAAAGTCAGTTATAACAATTAGGTATTTATTTTCTACCACGTGCCCGCCCCTGGGCAAGGTGCTTCTTAGAGGTTCCAGCCCTGCGAGGGGCTGGGTTAAGTGACACAGCCCAAACCAGGGCTCCAGTGGGGGCTCAAACCGTCTCATGCTCACCCCCAGGATGTGATCCGAGCCCTTTCAGAGACCTTCTGAGTGTTTCCCTTATAGGAAAATTGCTTCTCTCTCCCTTCCCATTCTTGTCAGTTCAGGGTTCCTTCGAGCCTCCTAATAACCATATATTTCATTTTCCACCCATCCGGACTCCTTGCTCCTCCCCGCTCGGCCCGGGGAGAACTCGTAAACGTCGTTGGTGACGAAGCCACTCTCCAAGCTCCCCAGCGTCACGAACCCGCTTTCAGACGGGTTCACGGCCACGTTTTCATAGTCACAAGACACGGCGTCGGGCGCGGCCTCTCCCGAGCGCGCCCGGAACGAGATGTTCTGTAGGTCCGGGCGGGTCTCGGCCAGATCAGCTTCGCTCTGCTTTCGTATGACGTTGTAAACCTCCAGGTCCGGGCTGTTCCCGGGCTGAGAAGCCGGCCAGGAGGGGCGCTGCTCCTTAGTGCTGGGGTCCGGCTGCCCCCGTTTCCTAGGAAGACAGAGAACCAGGGCTGAGCAGGCAAGGGGCCTGAGAATGTCCCCGGGCCCTGTCCAGGCAGGACAGGGTCATCCCTGCGCGGTCACTACGCTGCACTTCTCATCTGTGTCAGCCTTCAGGGCAGGGTTTCGGGTGTGGCAGGAATGAACGAGGCAAGTGTGCTATCTGCCATTCACAGTGGCCTGAGCACAGAGCAGAACTGGTGATCCCAGGGTCCCCAGAGCCCCCAGAGGGTCTATGGAGAGAACTGCGTGGGGGAAAAAATGCCACATTAAAACAAATCCATCTCCAAGGGAAACTGTCCTTCAATTCTGAATGTGGGCAATCAAGCTGAGTAGAATTAGTAGTATCTTTGACTTGCTCACCAATGGAAATCATAGATATTTTCATATCACAGTTATTGTTTAAGATGCCTTAAAATATTTTATGCTCATTTCTGCTTCAATATTATGATAATTATATCTAAAGAAGCATTAGTAAAGAAGCTCATGTATTACTGTTTCACATACATTTTTGGAAATATTTTGCTAGTATTTTTGTGTCTGAGGTACAAAACGATTAAAACCGTGAGTAGACTCCAGCTTCAAAGTTACAATTCCCAGACTGGGGTGAGCTGCTCAATGGGTAGATAAGGAAGGGAAATCAAGAACCAAGCACAGAGTAAGCAGTTAGAAAACATATTAGCAATTTTTTAAACTGAGTTCTGTTTTTTTGGCCGTGTCAACATTTTTAAAATTAAGATTTATTTATTTTTAATTGGAAGATAATTGCATTACAATATTGTGTTGGTTTCTGCCATATATCAACATGAATCAGTTATAGGTATACCTATGTCCCCTCCTTCCTGAACCTCCCTACCACCTCCTGTGAACTGAATTCTGTCGATATTTTGGATTAAAAGGAATTAACTAAAAAAATGATTATAGGAAGAGATATTTTTGGGTGCTTATAATATACTCACTCTGCATGTATCAACTGCTTTAATTCTTATAATTCTATAAGGAGGTTATTATTTTTTTGATCTTCTGGCCATGCTGCATGGCATGTGGGATCTTAGTTTCTTGACCAGGGATTGAACCCCTGCCCTCTGTACCAGCAGCACAGAATCTTACCTGCGGGGCCGCAGGGAAGCCCCTAAGGAATTATTATGAAATGAAATAGGTTCTACATTGAAATCTTGTTAGTTTATATTAAATTGGCCATCAAAGGGAGTCAAGCCTTAAAATGTACCTTTGCTTTCCTGTTGTGAAGTGGCAATGCCACCTTCTTCTATATAGACCATGATGATGGGGAATAAAAAGGTAGCTGAGAAGAGCTCTGGGTACCTCCAAACTGGTGGCTCCATGATCCACTAACAGAGGTGCTCTAAGCTACTTAAGGTAGCTCTTTTGTAGCCATCTATACTTGTGTATTCAAGTAAAAGTCAGTTAAAAGGATTTGGCTATTTTATTTTGAATGAAGTGGTTTTACTTTCAGAGGTTTGCCAGGAGGCTTTGGAACAGTCATTTTCATATGGCTCACTATTTATTCCTTCACTCACCCAAAAAACATTTCTGGAGTGAGAATGTACATGCATGAGAAAACTTTGCTGAGTGATGTGTGGATACACAGGTGAATGATGCAGTTCACCCCTCAAGTCATTTAAAATCTTCCACACTAAAAAATTAAAGAATGTAAGATCACTCTGTTAATTACAACTGAGTACAAATGCTTAGTGCTTCTGAGTGCCCTGAACCCATCAGATTTATTCTCAAATCTGCAGAAGAGATTCTCTTGTAGCTGCCTTGCCTTTGCCAAGTTCAGAAAACACAAAGGTTTACAAGATGAACGTTTTACTTGCCTCCTTCTACAGATCCAAACCCAACATACACCTGTGGTGACCACAAGGAGGAGGAGAATGCTGAAGATTAGGATGTAGGCAAGATTCAAGGCAGCTTCTGAAAAGAAAAGCGCAGATAAAATGTAGTTATGGGTATGGTGTTTTTCTGAGTTCTATAAGTTGTTCTAGTGAATTACTGAATGTGACTCCCTGGAATTGCAGTCAGTGGATTAGAAGTGCAGGTGGCCTGGGGACCCCCGATCTTGTGGCTGATATCTGAAGCAAGGGCAGTCTGGGTGGGGGCTGAGCCCTTAACCGGTATGGTCTGTGTTAATTTGGGGTGGCTAGTGTCACGGCTGAATTGCAGTATTTCAATATCCTATTTCATTATATGGACACAGTGGATGCTCTTAGGTAGGTGAGAAAAATACTGTTACTTCTCTTATGTAAATAACTAAACTGAAAAATTGTTTGTTTTCTTAAAAGTTACCCAGTGACAAAAACTCAGATCTTTCTTTTTTTTATTTTAATTGAAATAACGTTGTCATACAATATCATGTTAGTTTCAGATGTATCCTATATTGATTTGACATTTGCACACATTATTAAGTCTAGCTACCAGCCCAGATCTTCCTCTTGAAAGTCAAGGTGAGAGTTGAGGTTCAAAGTCCATCAGCACTCCAGTTTATCACCCCGTTTTCTTTTATCTTCTATGTCCATTTCCTCTGTTTGTCTTGTAAAGAAATACTAATCATGGCCTGGGTCTTTCTGCTCTTATTTCTCAACATTCATTCTCAATTTCCACCCCCTCCCCCGACCCTGACCCAAACAACTTCTGGGAGGTTCTCAAGTCTCCCACTGTCTTCCTGAAGCCTTTTTACCTCCTGCCTCATCTAATCGCCCCAATTGTCTTATTTTACTGACCAAATCTAACATTTAATACAGTTTTTACAAAGCCACATGTGCCCTGTCTGTTTTCATTTTTAAGTAGCCGTGGGGAGAACAAGCAGGGTATGTAATCATGGGGATTTGTAATCAGGAGAGCCCTACTATCTGTTTTTCCCTGGGAGAGCTCTGTGTATACCTTTGCTTTCTTTCAGCGTTTCTGTGGCATCTTCTTTCTCTGTGTCTTCTGGAAGTACGGGTGTTGCTGGCTCTGTCTCTTCACCTGGAGAGAGACACATGCACTCAGAACCTGGAGAAAGGCATTAACATCCAGATACTCTCTGAGGTCCTACCAGCTTCGGGGGTGGGGGGGAGAGGTGTCAGAAAGCACTAGCAAAGTGACTAGTGTAGTTTATAATCATGGAAAGTGAAGAACTGAATTTGCTGACCGAGAGGTTTACTTTTCGTGATCTTTCTGGTATGACTCTTGCTGCCAAGAATCAAGTGGGAACACAACCAGCAGGCAGCTGACATCAAGGCCCATAAACTACTGCAGAACACAGGGGAAGGGCCAATGACTCACTTTTAGGACCACAATGATCAGTTTGACTCACTTGTCTCATTAGATTGAATTATTCCTTTCATATTGTCAATAAGGATAGGTAACATCACAAACTGATTTGTAATTGCTCATTTTAACATAGTTGAAAGGCAACCCTAGAGGGTGAGATTAGTGAACCACGTGCCATGTCTCAGCGTGACTTATACCCATCCAAAGAGTTGGTGTCTTTCCATCGAATCATCTAGTCTAAAGAGCATGTGACTCTAAACCTATGGAGAGGTTCTAAACCTGTGAAACAGCCCAAATGAACTCAAATCTCCAATGACAGTCTTACCTCCAGTCCTTGTAGAAGAAACTGTTGGTTTCTCTGCAGCAGAAAGGAATAAGAATGAGAGTAATAGGTAAATCGCCACACCCTCTGAGTGAAGCTGGCCAGGGCACATCTTCCATCTAGTTGCTCATTCAATCGTCCAACAAACTTCATTTCATGCTATCAGACTCCAGAACCTGGTTAGTAAGTCCAAAGAATCCCTTCTGCACAAACACTAGCCTTTCCCCAGCTTTGCTTGGACACTTTTTAAAAAAAGCATTAAAACTTTTAAATACGAGAACTTTCAAATATACACAAAAGTGGGAAGATTGGTATAATGAACCTCTACGGAGTGTCAATGCTTATCAACATGTGGCTAATCTGGTTTCAACAATAATCCCTATTCCTCCCTGGCTAAACCCAGGTCTGAATATTTTATTCTATTCTATTCTATTAGGCTGCACTGGGTCTTAGTTGTGGCATGTGGGATCTAGTTTCCCTGACCAGAGATCAAACCCAGGCCCTCTGCATTGGGAGCATGAAGTCTTAGCCATCGGACAAAACATCCCCTGAACTGTTTTAAAGCAATCCAAGACATTTTATCAGCTCCTACTGGGGATGTTTTAGAGCAATGAACACTGATCTCCAAGCAGAGGAGGTGGCTGGGGACTAAATAGCATATGGCCCACCCCAAAGCAGAGCTGTGATCTAGAACCTGAGCTATTTAAAATAATTCTAAGAGCCTCAGGATAGTCAGGCTCCACAGACAACCTACAGTAATGTTTTTACTTCTGGCATAAATTGTATCAGTCTTTTATACTGGCAGTGACTCCTATGCTGATCAGATACTCTGGGATCACAGAATCAGAGTCTTCAAGGTCAAAATTTTAGAATTCATAGTCCTAAGGCTGCGATGGGCTTCCCTGGTGGCTAAGATGGTAAAGAACCTGCCTGCAATGCAGGCAACCTCGGTTCGATCCTTGGGTTGGGAAGATCCCCTGGAGAAGGAAATGGCAACCCACTCCAGTATTCTTGCCTGCAGAATCTCATGGACAGAGGAGCCTGGTGGGTTACAGTCTGTGGGGTCACAAAGAGTCAGGCATGACTGAGCGAATAACACGCACACAAAAGGCCAAGATGTCAAAGCTATTCTGAGGTTTTATTAAGAAGGGAAATTTTACTGGAGTTGAGCTGGAGGAGTTGCTTGTATATTTTTGAGATTAATCCTTTGTCTGTTGCTTCATTTGCTATTATTTTCTCCCAATCTGAGGGCTGTCTTTTTACCTTGCTTATAGTTTCCTTTGTTGTGCAAAAGCTTTTAAGTTTCATTAGGTCCCATTTGTTTATTTTTGCTTTTATTTCTAAAATTCTGGGATGTGGGTCATAGAGGATCCTGCTGTGATTTATGTCAGAGAGTGTTTTGCCTATGTTCTCCTCTAGGAGTTTTATAGTTTCTGGTCTTACATATGTGTGTGTGTGTGTGTGTGTGGGTGTGTGTGTGTAGAAGTGATGCAAATCCATTTATTTATTAAAAATGTCTGCTATATGATAGAAACATTCTTATGTTCTAAAGGTTTTTATAAAAACAAACACAATTTATCCTGATAACAGCCTTGTGAGTAAGTGCTATTCTGAATTTGTTCACAAGGAGACTCAGGTACAGGGAAATTAAGCAACCTACTCAAATCTCACAGCTAATAAGTAGCTGAACTGGGATTTGAACTTAAAAAATTCAAATGAAAATTTCAGATCACAAGGAGACAAACCCCATGCTAGATATTAGAGATACACTAGCAAATCAAAAGCTGTCCCAGCTCTCTAATGAACTGACACTCTATGGGATGGCAATAAAATATAGAATTATAGGAGAATATTCATACATATTAATTTTGTGATATTATATTACAATACATCATATATTCAATGACATTACAGAAAAAGATGCAGTCATTTTGTTGTCCCTCTACAGTTCAATCCACTGGGCAAAACTGCCGTGAACACAGCAAATTAATGCAGCATTTCCATCAACAATGCAATGCAATGGTCTGTGACATTGCCTCAGATGATTTGTCTCTGATTTCCACTGAATGTGTCTATGCTTTTAGCCCACCATGGAAGGAATCAAGTGTTCAGATCTGGCTGGTATGCCACCTACTCTATGTGGTCATGTTGTCAAATTTCATTTTAGATGCTGTCTTTCAACTGGTCGCTTGCCCTCTGGTATAGTAGGATATTTTGCCATAATGTTGGAGCCATACTGGGTGACCTTCCCCTAGTTCATGAAGTGTAGGGTCAAATGTGTCTTTCCAGACTTCATGCCAACCATATAGTGAAGTGGACAAACTTGTCAACAGGCAGTATTTGTACTGTGTGTGTGAGGTGTTATGATCCTCATAGGAGGAACACTTAACTTAGTTTTGAGGTTAAGCCCTGGAATGCTTCCCAGAGGAAGTGATTTTTTTTTAACTTACTTGGAAATAATTTAAAATTTATGAAAATTTGCAAGACTACTGGAAAGAATTCCCATGTATCCTTCACCCAAAAGTTATCATTTTATCACTTTTCATTTATATAACTATTATCTCTGTCTCTTTATATATATCTCTATATATCTATGTATCTATATCTAAGTCTCTCTATATACACAGACACACATATATTTACATACATTCACACACAGACACATGCATAACTTTTTTCCGGAGAATAAGCTGTAGCCATAGTTACTCTTTATTCCCTAAACACCTCAAAGTGTATTTAAAACAGGACCGGGAGGGGCATACTCTGTCATAACCATAGTACAATTATTGAAACCAAAATATCAACATTGATATGTATAGTATCATCCAATCTACAGATCTTATTCAAGTTATGCCAATTGTCCTAAAAATGCCCTTTACAGAAAATTACTATTGTCATCATCAAAGGTACAATCCAGGACCATCTATTGTTATGAGAGAAGGTGATGCTTAACCTGAACCTGAAGGCTGAGAATGAGTTGACTGGGAAAGAGGGAAGGATGTTCCAAGCACTGCAAACAGCAGTTAAGAGATGATGGGGAACTTCACAAAACACAGAAGGGAACTGGCTGGGGGATGGAATAAAAGTGGTGAGAACTGGGGCTGCAGAGAGGCAAGGGTCTGATTATGCCAGTCCCTTCGCGGTGTGCTGAGGTCCGTGAACTTGTCCTGAGAAGGAGGGGGTGGTCTGCAGTGAGGCTGTGTGTTAGACTTCTTCCGTGTGCCCACATCCCCCGCTCAGTCTATTCCTGGTCCTTCTCTGTGTCCTGGGAGGCTGACCTCTGGGGATGTGTCCTGGGCTCCCTTGTCCTCTGGTTCTCGACTGGACTTAACACACAATAGGAGGCAGAAGCAGGAGATTAGAGGGTAGGAGAAGAGGCAGGTCCTAGTATTCTTCCCCAGACCTCTCTCCCACATCGTGGTGGTTTGAGAGCACTGTGTTGTCTGGTTACAGCTCCTGTTGGCTGGCTCCTCTTGCATGACTCCGAGATTTCTCTGGGTTCTGCTAAAACCATCCCCTCCCTTTGCTCCTTGAAGCCTAGGGGTAGTAATAACTTCCCGCTGTAGCTGGGCCCTGGGCACTTCACCATCTCATGTTCTGTGTCCACACTTTGGTAAATACCATTTTATTATACTCCTCTCATTAAACCCTTTGAATGTACCATCTTTTCCCTGCCAGGACTCAGTCTAATACACGCAACAGCACAATTAATAAACAAAATTACTTTTTAAAAAACTAACTGGTTCTAACCCCAAAATAAAAGGCTATGAAAACAAGTGCCCAAATCTCACATTTCAAAAAATGTTTAAGGTACAAAATTTTAAATCATGATGATAATAGGATATAATGAACAAAAGTGATGGGGAGCCAGTTTGTCATAAGTGCCTTGCTTTAATTGCTCTAAAAAAGGGCCTTGCCAAGTCAGCCTCGATCCTTGCAATCTCCCTGCCTGAGACGACTCTGTGGTGGGGAAGACCAGATTTCTGGAGAAGAATTTGTCTGATGGGGTGAAGAGGGAGGAAAAACAACTTTAGCAGCAAAGGCACAGTCAAGCTCCAACAATTTTGAAATGACAGGATTGTTTAGTCCCCAACTAGATGTAACTAACAAGTCATTCTACTCCTGTCAGGAAAAGATGCAGAACTGGGATCAAGCAGTTGGCTTCAGGGTGGTGAAAAAACTTCACGAACAGATCAAGAATCACTTCATGTTTAGATTCCGGTCCATCATAACGGAGAAATTTGGGAAACCCCAGCACAGTGAGATTACAGGCCTGTAGCCAATTCAAAACCCTTAATAGATCTAGAAGAAAAAGCTAGCTAAGTTTGCAAGGCACATATATAGAGGGTGGCCTAAGGAGTTTAAGCCTGCTCATCAAAGTGACCGCTGTCTGCTCAGTGTCGGTAAAATTAGCATATTTTATCCTCTACTTCCTGTGGTCATATTCCTGTCTCCTTAAAGCCCCAGAAAATGGCTGGCAGAGACATGCAAGAAAAATGGCCAGCTTCCGTTCACACTTCTTCCTTATTCCAAGCTCCTGCAGTGTACACCCTCACATACGGAGGGAATAAGAATTGTAACTGTCCACCTGGAAGGCTTTTTGTTTCTTGAAGTTCTCATAATTCTTGCCTTATCATCCATAAATTAGACCCTTCCACTCCTTCATGTCTTAGCATCTAATACCCTCTCCTTTGCTAGAATTACTCCTCAGCAAGGAGGAATCAGGACATCTCCCCTTACAAGAATTCCCAAAGTTTAACACTGCTGGCATTTGCAGCGAGCTTTCTCAGAGACTAGGTGACAAACTCTTGGAACCAGCAGCTGGTTATGAAAGGAGAGAGGAGGCTGAGAGTGCAGTCACATAACTTGGGAGAGGATTCATTACCATCAGAATATTTGCAGATGAAATTGTTCTTCATGGTACACCGGTCGTCATTCCACTGGAACATGTAAGGGCCCCCGATGCCGGCGGGGGCCGACGGCTGATGGTACATGACCACGCAGACCTCGCTGCCGCAGGAAGGCTCATCCACATACCAGTTCCTGTAGGAAAGGGGTCAACAGTGGAGGCAGCTGGAGAAGGATCCCGCAAGACTTTAAAGCCTTTGCTTTCCTCTCAAGTTCCACGGAGCCAGGAACTTAAGAGAGAGTGAGGAATTGAAGTGCGGCCAATAAGGAGAACCATGCTTTCGAATATGGACATCACAATCAATCATCTGACATTTGCCACAGCCTCTTTGCAGGGAGGAATATATTACCATATGATGTCTGCAAAGTTATTATGAGAAAAAGCAGCCAACAGGGCCAGTCTGGACAATCTTATTATTTTTTTTGCTTTTGGCTAACTGGGTTTTGTTTCTCTTTTTTAAGAAATCAGACACGCTGGGAGAGGCATGGCTTATTGCATCCAGAGCTTGCCCTGCTTCCATCTCCCCATGCTTTTCAGTAGCCACAGCTGCCTTCTGAACTCTGAGGAGTGGAGAGAATATTCAAGCATCTGAGGCTTCAAAGTAGGAGACAGAGTTCAGGAAAAAGCAGGAGGCCCAGCTAGTCTTTTTCAGTTTTTAAGTTGTTTCTAGCTCATCAGGCTGATGAGACCTTTTGTTAGCTTCCGCTTCTGCAGCCCCAGATGGAATTAAATGGTGCTGCTGCCCAGATAGATCTGTGGGTGCCAGGTTAAAGCCTTGGATTCCGTAGGTAGTTTCGATGCTATGAGCACCTAGGCCACGTACTGACTCAGGCCTGGGCTTTGTACTCTGCCTGGTTACTCACCCAAGCAGGTTGCTTCCAAGGCCCATCTCTGCGCTGATGCTCAGACTGTTTAGATGAGCCCTGCAGCTCTGCCTAGCGCTTGTCACAGCCCCTCCTTATGGAAACCTAAGAGACAGCTCTCCGTGTACTACCCCAGGAGAGCTCTGCTTGAGTCTGGTGCTGCAGTTCACCAGAAGGAAAGTCCTCTGCTGAACTCATTGGGTTGAATTTGCCTGGATGATAGCTGAGCTTGCAACGCTGCTTGAACATTGGTCAGCTGGGGTTCCTGACGGGGGCTGGGCTCTGCACCTCACTAGTCACCTCCAGGCAATTTTCCAACCTTGTTGATGGGCCTCCCACTTGTCTGTTCTCCCCACTGGCGTTTTGGCTTTATGTTATTTCACAGATAATGGAATGGATGGAATATGATGCCTGGCATCCAGTTTCTGGACTTGAGCCAGCTTTCAGGCTTGGAACTCACTGCTAGAAAGAGGAAGGACCCTGAGACACCCCAGTAGGTGCACATGCTGTGTGCATGTGAGCTAAGTTGCCTCAGTCATGTCCGACTCTTGACCCTCTGGACGGTAGCCCACCAGGCTCCTCTGTCCATGGGACTCTCCAGGCAAGAATGCTGGAGTGGGTTGCAGTGGGTTGCCGTGACCTCCTCCAGGGGATCTTCCCAACCCAGGGATTGAACCTGAGTCTCTTATATTTCCTACACTGGCAGGTGGGTTCTTTACCACTAGCACCACCTGGGAAGCCCCAGGTGCACATGGTATTTTTCCTTTATTCTCCCTAAGGGACCTATGGCCATATATTTGAGGAATCACACTTTGGGGGAAGAGGAATACCCTGATATTACAAAGGCTGTTGGACAGAGCGTGCAAGTTAACATTGCTACCCAAAGTTGTGAAGTGTCATTAAGGTTACCCATTTGAGTGGGAGCATATTGAGGCCAAGTCTTTTTTTTTTTTTTTGAGGCCAAGTATTAAATGGAGTTCTGGCTCAGGACTGAGGTAGGAGATAGATGGGGCCCCAGGCTGAACAGCCGGTGTTTGTCAAGCAAAGTTGTGTTTGCTTGAGGCTATGTTCTCACCCAGACACTCGAAGCACAAAGCTAGTGGCAGAAGCTTCGCTCTGCTGGAATAAAGAGATAAGATGAACACTCTTGGTCAAGGAAAAGTTCCCTGTCTGCCCATGGAATGCTCATTGGGGGGGAGGCAGTCAAAAAGGGAGGGGGTCCATAATAAGTCCATTATGTGGTCCATAATGGGGGACCACATGCACCTACAGGCATCTGTGGTAAGATCCATCTTAACAAAAAGTTGTGCATGCATCTTGGGGAGAGTCCTAGGAACTGTCAGGTGTGAAAAAAGAAACAAGATAACTGGCCAAAGGTAAATGAAGCCCCAGAAGGATTATCCTATATCAGTGATTTAAATCACCTCTTTACTTCACCCCTCCTCATTAGAGAGGACTCCCATACCCTTTCTCTCTGGGTGTGTATTTCTGCCTAGCTGCTGACTTAAATAAACAAATTGCTTCTCTGTGTGTTTACCCACGCTTCCGCAGTGGCTCAGTGGTAAAGAATCTGCCTGCAAGGCAGGTGATGTAGGAGATGTGGGTTGAATCCCTGGGTCAGGAAGATCCCCTGGAGGAGGAAACGGCAAACCACTCCAATATCCTTGCCTGAAGAATGCCATGGACAGAGGAGCCTGGTGATCTACAGTCCATAGGGTCACGAAGAGCAGGACACGACTGAGCATGCACCCATGTGCTCTCCCACATGTTATGCTGTGTTTCTAATAATAAACTTTGTACCTGTTTTTATGTTTTTGCCTCTGTGAGAAATGTATTTTTCAATGGGCCAGGGGAACTTTGCTTTTAGCCTCTAATCCCTGGTGGACTAGTGGCTAGGATTCCTGGTTTCTATCCAGGCTACGCAGGTCCTATTCCTGGGTAGAGAACTAAGATCTCTCTTCAGGACTGCTCAGTGCTGTCTCTCTGAGATAAGGATCAGCTCACAGTGGGACCCATCCAGTGGTCATTCTCCAGTCTCCAAATATATGAATTGAAAACTTATGGGGTAAGAGTTATAAACAGTGGAGAAGCTCAAGGGGAAGCCTTGAAAACTGCATTCTTCCCTGTCCTCTTCAAGAGAGTAAACAGAAAACAATACCTTATCCAGGCAAACATGACAGAAGGTAGTGCCGCCTCCAAAGACCTAGGAAATGCCAGGATGGTGTTCCCCATCACATCTCTGTGTAATCACTAGTCTGGGCCCTGTCCCTGGCCCCAGGCAGTTTCTGAAGCATGAGACTGAAGTAGCCCAGACTCAGCCAAGTAGAAGCCCCCTTGTAGCTGCTGCAGCACATGTGGCATCTTTGCCAGAGCTGGTTAACACATCCTTGAGTACCTAGTATGAAGATGTGGTGAGTACATTCTTCTTCATCTGTATCCGATAGAGAATTAGAAACAGTCTGCCTTCATTTGGAATGGACATCAGTATGCATTTATGGTCTTGCCCCAGGACTATACTACTTTTCCTACCCTCTGTCATAATATGACATGAAGAGAGACTTCCTGGATATCTTGCAGAAAATTACTTTGGTCCACCATACTGTTGAAAGTGAAAGTGAAAAGTTTCTCAGTCAAGTCCTACTCTTTTGTGACCTCATGGACTATACAGTCCATGGAATTCTCCAGGCCAGAATACTGGAGGGGGTAGCTTTTCCTTCTCCAGGGGATCTTCCCAACCCAGGGATTGAACCTAGGTCTCCCACATTGCAGACATATTCTTTATCAGCTGAGCCACAAGGGAAGCCCAAGAGTACTGGAGTATATAGCCTATCCCTTCTCCAGGGGGTCTTCCTGACCCAGGAATTGAACCGGGGTCTCCTGCATTGCAGATGGATTCTTTACCAATTTCCCAATGAGGGAAGCCCCAAGGTTGGAGATAAATGCTATGAAGATCTAGGGGCCTGCTACTTCATGAAAATGTGTAGGTGTTTTGTAGTCTAGGGGACACCACAACACCTCTTTCAAGTTACTGGTTAAATTATTTCATCTCACAATAATTTGAAGCATCTTGCAACCATTTGAAGAAGGAAGCCTAGCATGTGGTAGGTCCCTTTGGGCTCTAGAGGTGGCATATTTCATACCTGGGAATACTGTTCTGGTCTATATACCTGTTGACATGAAAGACAGCTGTGTTTGAGTGGGGTCCAGAGCCAAAAAGGACTCTGAAGCAGTTCTAGGCTGTGATGGAAGCAGACTTCCCACTTGGGTCATATGATCCATCAGACCCCCTGTTGTTAGAGGCATCGGTGGTGAGAAAAACAATGCCATGGGGCATCCACGCAAGCTCCAATGAGAGAATCACAATGCAAACCCTTAAGATTCTGTAGCAAGGCCATATTACCTGTAACTGAGAAAAAAACCACCTTTTGCAAGCAACTCTGGCTTACTACTAGGCAAGGAGTACCAAGAGACCATACAATCCAACTTGCTCAGTGAGAGTGAGATACTGTCAGACGTACATAGTCAAAAGATTAGGCAGGAATCAACTCATTATAAGATGGAAGAGGTATATTTAGGACCAACGGGCATGTACAAATGGAGCAGACCACTGTGACATCTTCCTCTATTGTACCAGCCTATCCCTCAGCTTATACCTATAGCTGCTTAAAGGAATCCCTTACGACCAGCTGGTAAAGGTAGCCTAAGCTTGGTTAGGCCAGCCAAGCATAGGGGGACAGCTCCACATGGGCAGCAGCTGCCCTATAGCCCCACTCAGAGGCTTTGAAAGGTCTAGTGGCAAAGAGACAACCTCCCAATGGCCAGAGCTTTGTTGGTGTACCTTCTTAACCACTTGGTGTGGAAAGAGAAGTTATTGGACATTAGGCTAAGGCAAATAGCTTGGTCAGCTGATCGGAAGTCTAAAAGGAGAAAGAGTGGGAGGCTGAGGACAAGGAGCTCTTGGATAGAGTGATGTGAACAGACATATGGGAGGAGGTATAAAGCATGAAAACCGACCATATGTTAAAGGCCAGCAAAAAGCCTCTAGCACAGAAGAGGCACTGATTAACCAGGGAGACAAAACAGCTCAACTGGTGAGCAGCTGCCCCCGTGATGATGTAACAGGCGTATGCTAGAGTGGCCGTGAGGCAGGGGCGAGGCCATGCGCGGGCTCAGCAGTGGCTGCTCCCACTAACCAAGGCTGATCCAGCTACTGCCAGGAACAGAGACGGGCCTAACACGTGGTGGCAACTAGACCCCGCCGGACTCCTTTCATCCTGGAAGGGGCGATGATTCATGTGCATAGGAATAGATAACCTGGCCATTGGTTTGCCTTTCCTACCTCAGGGACTTAGCATCACTATCCAAATACTTACACAGTCTTTGATCTACCAGCTCAGGATTCTAAATAAGGTCTAATCAGATCAAAAAACCAAGTTTCTAGCAAAGGAGATGTGGGAGTAAGCAGGGCATTTACTAGTCGGACCACATACTTCAATCTCCTAAAGCTGCCAGTCTGACAGAATGAGGAATGATCTTGTTGAAAACACAACCAAAGCACTAACTGAGTGGTGATACTTGTGAGGAGGGGGCAACATCCTCCCAGAAGCAGTGCAGACTTTGAATCATCGACCTTTGTGTCATCCTGTATCATGCAAGAGTATTCTGGGGTCTGGAAGCCAAGGGGTGTAGAAGAAAAATTTGAAGCTAACAGAGGCTGGTTCATGAAGTTAAGGAAAGAAACTGTCTCCATAACATAAAAGTGCATGGTGAAGCAGTAGACGCTGATTAGAAGCTGAAGCAAGTTATTCAGAAGATCTAGCTAAAGATAACTCACAAAGGTGGCCTCACTAAACAACAGATTTTCAATGTAGAATAAACAGCCTTTTAATGGAAGATACCATCTAGGAGTTTCCTAGTTTAGAGAGGAGAAGTCAACCTTCAGCTTCAAAGCTTCAAAGAGCAGGATGACCAGAGGGGATGTATGTGTGCATATCTGCTCAGGCTCCTATGTCCGTGGAGTTTTCTAGGCAAGAATACTGGAGTGGGTTCCCATTTTCTACAACCCAGGGATCGAACCTGAATCTCTTGCATCTCCTGCACTGGCAGGCAGATTCTTTACTGCTGATGCCACCTAGGAAGCCTGATATATGTCCACTTAGAGCTGATTCACTTCGTTGTGCAGTAGAAGCTAACACAATACTGTAAAGCAATTTTAGTCCAATAAAAAAGATTTTTAAAGAAGTTGACACAGGGAATTTGCTGCGTGGCTCAGGAAACTCAAACAGGGTCTCTATATCAACCTAGAGGGATGGGCTGGGGAGGGAGATGGGAGGGAGGTTCAAAAGGGAGGAGATATATGTACACCCATGGCTGATTCATGTTGAGATTTGACAGAAAACAGCAAAATCCTGTAAAGCAATTATCCTTCAATAAAAAATAAATAAATAAATAATAATAAAAAAAGCTGACACAGCTGGTGACTTTAAGTTGAAGCTAGTTTTCATCGATCATTTTGAAAATTCTAGGGCCCTTAAGAAATACGCTAAAACTACTTGGCCTTTGCTGTATAAATGGGACAACACAGCTGGATGACAGCACAACTGCTCACAGCATGATTTACTGAATATTTTAAGCCCCCTGTTGAGACCTACTATCAGAAAAATGATTCCTTTCCAAATATTACTGCTCCTTGACGATGCACCTAGTCACCCAAGCGCTCTGATGGAGATGTACAATGAGATTATTGTCATTTTCATGCCTGGTAACTACATCCATTCTGCAGTCCATGGATAAGGAAGTAATTTTGATGTTCAAGCTTTATTCTTTAAGAAATACATTTATCAAGGCTACAGCTTGCAAAAGGAGGAGAACCCTTGCTTACCATCCCTGGCAGTACCCACTTGGGGAATTTGTGCTTCTTGTCTCTGCAGTGTTGAGGCCTGTGAGTTTAGAGGGCCTGCCACCCAAAGGAGAAATCTTTCCACCAGAAGATACACCATGAATGTTGTTGAACCAATGCCTGCCACTTGGACACCAAGGGATCCTTGTGTTCAGGAACCAGCAGGCAAGAGGAGAAGTAATTGTCTTTGCAGGAGGTACTGACCCTAATCATGAGGTGAAGGTATCTCTGCTGTTATAGGCAGGGGGATATGTTTGGCACTCAGGTATCTACTTGGGTACTTGTTGGTACTCATGTGCTCCATTTTGATGGTAAATAGAAAAGTGAAATCACTCCAGACTGAGAAATTCAAGTTGACTAGGGCTTCACACTCCTCAGGGATAAGGGTCTGGGTCTTGCCACAAGGTAAGCAAGCCACTGAGGCTCCCCAAGAAGAGGGGAGGGGAGCCTCGACAGGACGGAGGAGGTGAGGGGGGCTCAGTAAGTATAAGTCATGGCTCTGGCGACCAGCTGCAGTGGTGGAGAGGGTAGTTCCTCCTGCTAATCTTCTTTTTTAAAATTTCTCCCAGGAGTACTTCCCTGGCAGCCCAGTGGTGAAGAATCATGCCTTCCAATGCAGGGGACACAGGTTCGATCCCTGGTTGGGGAACTAAGATCCCACATGCCACGGGCAACTAAGCTTGTCCCTGGCAACTGGAGAGCCTGTGTGCCACAAGTAGAGAAGCCTGAGAGCCGCAGTGAAGACCCAGAGCAGACAAAAAAAAAGTTTCTCCTGGGAAGAGAGGCCCATGAGAATCTTGGAGGAGACACTCCTGGAGCTTAAACGAAGGTGTGGATCAGAATAGCCAAATGGGTGGGCTTCGATAAATGCCGACATGCTGTCTTAAATGGAGTAGGTAAAAAGGGATATATTCTTCTCTTCATTCTTTTGATTGAAACTGAGTTTAAACTTTTTCCCCATATGATGGTTTACCAGTTAGAGTGTCTATTTTGTGAACTGTTTGCTCAGGTCTTTTGCCCAGGGGTTTTATTGACATTTAAACATTTAGTGTTTCACTGACTTATATATACTATTTACTGTAAAAAGACAGTAACTGTTAAATTTGTTACAGCACATTTCTGGTCTTAAGTCTGCCTTTTAATTTTGATATTTGTTGACATTTTTCCATGTCACTGCTCTCCTCAGGGAAGGATGATGGCAGTGCTATGGTGCTAGGGCGAGTATGTGAAGTGAGTGCAATACTGGAGGTTTAGAAGCGTTCTGCAAACAGCAGGCTTCTTTGTGTCCCCTCTTGGCCACGCCAGAGAATTAGATCTGGCTCTAATTTCTTGCCCATCATCATAATTCCGGAGATGGCAATGGCAACCCACTCCAGTACTCTTGCCTGGAAAATCCCATGGACGGAGGAGCCTGGTGGGCTGCAGTCCATGGGGTCGCGAAGAGTCGGACACAACTGAGTGTCTTCCCTTTCACTTTTCACTTTCATGCCTTGGAGAAGGAAACGGCAGCCCACTCCAGTGTTCTTGCCTGGAGAATCCCAGGGACAGGGGAGGCTGGCGGGCTGCTGTCTATGAGGTCGCACAGAGTCGGACACAACTGAAGCGACTTAGCAGCAGCAGCAGCAGCAGCATAATTCCTTGCTGTCTAAAGCCCTTCAGCCCCATAGCCCTTTAGTCTCTCACTGGGCCTGCAAGCCCACTCCTGGGCATATACTCAGAGAAAACCATAATTCAAAAGTATACACGCACCCCAGTGTTCACTGCAGCAGAGTTTACAGTAGCCAAGACGTGGAGCAGCCTAAACGTCCATCAACAGAGGAATGGATAAAAGATGTGGTACATATATGCAATGGAATATTACTCAGCCATAAAAAGAACAAAATAATGTCATCTGCAGCAACATGGGAACGCAGAGATTGTCACACTGAGTGAAGTCAGTCAGACAGAGAGAGACAAATATCATATGATATTTATATGTGGAATCTAAAAAAAATGGTACAAATGGACTTATTTACAAATTATAAATAGAGTCACAGATGTAGAAAATACACTTATGGTTACCAAGGTGTAAGAGGGTGGAGGGAGGGATAAATTGGGAGGTTAGGATTGACATATATACACGACTATATATAAAATAGATAACTAACAAGGACCTACAGTATAGCAGAGGGAATCTACTCGGTACTCTGTATGGCTTATAAGGGAAAGGTCCTAAAAAAAGGTGGATATATGTATATGTATAACTGACTCACTTTGCTGTACATCTGAAACTAACACAATGGAAATCAACTATACTCTAATAAAAATTAAACAATCTCTCATCAGGGTTCTAGTCCAAAAGGCCAGGGAGCCAGAACCGCTGACATCATGCATTGTGTGCTATTGAAGCAGTGCGTCTGGGCCACCCTCCTGGGCAGAGCTCTCTCGACATGAGCTGGGCCCAAGGTAAGGCTGATTTGTCACCCTTGCCACGCTGCTTCGGTCCGTGGTTGTGCCAGTGCTGCAATCCCCTTGGGGCTCTGCCCAGCTGGGCTTCTCTTCCACCCTGACTGGCACCGGGGAGCTAGCCTGCCTCTTTCTTGAGCTATGTCAAGTGAGTTAGCCGCTGTGAGTTCCGCACACTTACCTAAACGCTGCTTTGCTTCCATCGATCCAGGCATAAAGGTCCTGGCAGGCTGTGCCATTGCTTTGTTTGTCCTCACGCCTCCTGAGTCCAATCCAGAAATCGCCGTCAGAAGCCAGGAGGTTTTCAATGAACTTTTCTATCAGTCTCTGTTCATCTTCAGACTCAATGCTGACTAACTGGCCCCCTTTCCTCCTGCAGGCTGCTCTGGCTTCCTCAAAGTTCAGTCTTTGAGAAGCATCATGGAAGTAAATGACTTCATAACAAGGCTTCTGGGTTCCTAACCGGCAGACTGGCTGACCTGGAGAAGAAAAGAAGCCTACCTATTTTAGTGCCCTCCAACACATGTTCAGATGGTAAAGAATCTGCCTGCAATGCAAGAGACCTGGGTTTGATTCCTGGACAGGGAAGATGACCTAGAGAAGGAAATGGCTACCCACTCCAGTATTCTTGCCAGGAGAATTCCACGGACAGAGGAGCTTGGCCGGCTCCAGTCCATGGGGTCGCAAAAAGTCGGACCCGACTGAGCGACTAACACTTAAAATATACCAGAGCAGAGACGCTTGGAGACATCTGAATGAAGCTGGGCAGGAATTCTGATTACTCATCAGTGGACTGTTTTAGTGTCATTTAGGCTCTCAGAGCAAATTAATACCCCTTCCAGTGTGGAGATGCAGTGATTTAGACTCTTATGCCTAAATTGTGTAGGACCTTCATCCTTTTTGTTTATTCCATTACAGATGATTAAAAAGCAGATATTTAAAATTAATCTTTAAAAGAGCAGTGGATGAAGATTTAATGTTTCACTTAAAGGCACACAAACAACACTTTCATGCCATTTGGGAGTCTCAGGAGATAGTGTGGTTTAAAGTGAGTTATGTCTGTTTGGGGTTTCCTTCAGGTAAAAGAGGCATTCTGAAGTCAGGTGTGGGCTTCTCAACCCTGAACCCTCTGCCTAGGTAGCAGGACTGAGAATTCACCCAGCTTATGATATAAGCAGAAGCTATGAGCATCAGATCCAAGGGGATTTCTGCTACTGGTCTTGCTTAAAGACAACAGCTAAGGTTTAGTGAACTCTTACTATGTGTCATGCGTTACACTAAGGGCTTTTACATTTACATACATACCTTATCTCACTGAACACTCATAGTAATCCTCTGCTGTAGATGCTGTTTATGCCTCATTTTACAGATGAGAAAACTGAGGCTCAGAGAAATTTGCTTGGCTAAGGTCACATAGGGCTTCCCAGGTGGTGCTAGTCATAAAGAACCTGCCTGACAATGCAGGAGACATAAGAGACATGTGTTCGATCCCTCATGCCAACGCGGGCTCAGGTTGCACCGGGGGTCTGTGTAATATGTCTCATCTGACTGACACCTGAAAGGCTGAAGACAAAGACAAATGGATGGGACTCTACTGAGGACAGATTACAAATCCTTCACCAGTACATACCACCCTAGCTTGTGTCTGGGCTCCTGAAGCCATTTCTGATCTGTTCTGTTCAGTCACTAACTCAGGTTTGACTCTTTGCAACCCCAGGGACTGCAGCATGCCAGGCTTCCCTGTTCATCACCATCTCCTGAAGTATGAGCTGCTCAAACTCATGTCCATCGAGTCGGTGATGCCATCCAACCATCTCATCCTCTGTCATCTCCTTCTCCTGCCCTCAATCTTACCCAGCATCAGAGTCTTTTTCAATGAGTCAGCTCGTCACATCAGGTGGCAACAGTACTGGAGATTCAGCTTCAGCATCAGGCCTTCCAATGAATATTCAGGGTTGATTTCCTTTAGGATGGACTGGTTTGATCTCCTTGCTGTCCAAGGGACTCTCTAGAGTCTTCTCCAACACCACAATTCAAAAGCATCAATCCTTCAGTGGTCAGCCTTCCTTATAGTCCAACTCTCACACCTGTACAAGACTACCGGGAAAATCATAGCTTTGACTATATGGACCTTTGTCGGCAAAGTGATGTCTCTACTTTTTAATATACTATCTAAGTTTGTCATAACTTTTCTTCCAAGAAGCAAGAGTCTTTTAATTTCATGATTGCAATTCTGCACCCAAAACATTAGCCTCATCACTCCTTTGTCCAGTCAGTATGTACTGAGTGTACACTCGGTGCCTGGTGCTGGGCTAGGTGCTGGGAATACAGAAACACACATGCTTCCGAGCCCACAGGAAGAACACAGCATATGCTTCTGGATCCAGCTGTACAGTGAAAACCAGATTTCAACAAGGAGAATCCCTTGCAGTGGAGAGCCAGTTCTTGGGCTCTGGATGTCAATTGCTGCCACAGAGCGAGGAGTTGAGGATTTGTGTTTGGAGAACTCTTTCCAGCTCTCATAGAATGTTCTCATTTTCCTCTTTGTTTTGCAACTGTGCAGGGAGCCAGATAGCATTCGTTATTCCCCAAACTGCCCAGAGTACAGGGCAAAAGGCCACAGGCAGTGAACTGCATTTTCAGTGCTTAAGTGGGAACAGAGTACATACAGATAATCCAGAGAGCTCTTGTGAATTCTTATTTTCAATTTCTTCTTTCATTGCTTTTGTAAATAAATTCTTAAATGAAAAACGTTGGTTTTTCATTTTGCATCTTCTCCCTTTCTCTGCCATTTTTCTCCTGTTGCTAAATAGAGAAACTCTAGCAGGACTGCTCCAACAGAAAATTAGGAGCCCTCCTAAGAGCAGCATTCTCAATGAGGAGGGGTTCTGGAGACCTGGGAGAAGGCTGGGCCAGCTCAGCTTCTATGGGTCCTTAAAGGTGGCTCCAGATGAGGAAGCAGAGGAACAACAAATGAGTCCCAGGAACCCCAAATCTGGAGGTGAATTTACAGGCAGCCTCCATTTTTCCACCGTTGGATTATCAAGGTGATCATCATAACACCCTAAACGAGTTTCCTGTATGGCCCAGCCTGGCCACACATCCCCAGTCAGCCAGTGAGTGCCAGAGCGATCCAGAGCTGGAAGAAGGCCCAGGGCTCATCTGGTCCCCTTGCTTTCAGGAAGTGTCTCTCATCTCTCACTTGCAGGAAGGGGAAGGGCGGGAGGGACTTCTGTTCCTCTCCATGGACGACAGAGCCCGGGGAAGCGGTCACCCAAACAGCTGAATTCGGTTACCCTCCCATTTTGCCGCTCGGCACCCCACCCCATCCTAAAACCAACTTTAGGGTCTCTCAACCAACTTCGGAAGCATAGATAACTGAGCGGAGGTTTTCTTTCTCCTCCATCCCTCGTGGCCCATCTGTTGCCTGCAAAGGTCACGAAGGAAACCCGAGAAGAGACACGGACATCGCCCTCCCGCCGGCCCCCGCCACGACATGCGGAGCAAATGCAAGAGGCAAGAAGCCAGAGCACTGTACCTCCTCTGAAGCCCAAGTCCGCGGCTGCAGTCACACGACGGGAGGAAGGAAGCCGACAGTCATTCACCCCAGTAAGGCGGGGCTTGTCCCGCGACAACTAGGCTGCTTTTTCTAAACGGTCTTATTCCAGGCGCGGGATTCTGCCGCCCTCCCCACCCCCCATCAGGAGAGACCAGGAGTAACAGGCTGGGTTCGCACCGCACAGCTGAGCTAGAATCGCTACTGTACGCCCCGCGCCCCCTCCGTCCCCGGGGACAGGAGACCTCCTCGGTGGGCAGGACAAGCCCTGTGTGGGGGTCCTGGGGACTACTGAGACTCGCTCAACGGGGGCGGACCGAGGGGCGTCTCCTGGAGCAGTTTGCTCACTGTCCCATCTAGCCTCCGTCTCCCGGTATCTGGTAACCCTGGGCAGGGAGTGGACGTCGAGCTGTCTAGGGCACGCAGGGAACCGGCGCTGGCTGGGCTCAGCCGCCCGGCGATTGCTCCTCTAGAAGCAGCGGGAGCCGGTGGGGCTGAGTCCACTGGTGGGGCGGGGGCGCCACCCCTCCACCCTCTCCTCGGAGGGCCGGAGAAAAGGCGCCGTGGCCCTGAAGACGGTCAGCCGCAGCCGGGGTGCCGTGGGTGCCGCAGCCGAGCGCGTCTGGGAACCAGCCCCCGCCCCAGCGCGCGCACTCACCGCTGAGCAGGCGACCCGTCGCCCTCAGGAGCCCCGCCAGCAGCACGGCCAGCAGCACGGCCCGCGGCGCCGCTCCCCGCGGCATGGCCCGGCTCGGGTGCGCCTTCAGACCGCGGGGCGCTACGGCGGTGGAGCGGGCAGACCCGCAGCTGCGCGCTCCGCAACGCCAACGGCGGGCGGCTGCAGCATCTCCCCAGCACCGACGGACCCTGCACCCGGAGGAGGCGGGGAGGGCGAGGAGCCAGCCTGTCGCCCCTCCGCCCCCGGGGACGTCACTGCGGAGAGGGCAGCCCCACCGGCGGGCCCGCCCCCAGAGCCTCCTCCAGCGCGCTCGGCGCCAGACACCCGGCCCGCCCCACTCGGATCTTCCCAGGGACATCCTGCGTTTGCCCGGGGCGCAGAGCCGAGGAAAATCCCGGTTTGGCTTCTCCGAAATGCAATGAAGACGGCGCTGGCTAAAAACCGACCGTGTCTCGCCCCAACTCCTCCTCCCAGCGTCCTCGGCTCCGCCTTTGGGCCAGCGGGAGAAGCAAACTCCGAGACCTGCCGGGACTCAGGAGGCTGCCGTCCAGGCCTTCGCGGCTACGTCTAAGAAAGGAGCGGTGGACGTCGAGAACACACGCGCACCCAGGCGGGGTGCCCACTGGCCCGGCAAGTTACGCCGCAGCGTGGATACCGTACAGCGGAGGCTGAGTTGGAGTTCTGGCTGAGAGGAGAAAAGTGGCTCTCCCAGAGCGTCCTTGAGACCAGCGAGGAAATAATACCGCTTTTTGCAGAGCACATCGGTGTGGGTGATGGTTCGGTCTCCTGGTAGAAAGGAGGTGACCCTCTCCCCGTCCCCCCCAGGAGTGACCCTCGTTTCCTGTGGCAAAGCTTTCCTCAGGAACCCAACCTTCTTCCAAACTCTCACAATAGTCCTGTTTTACATTTGCACCTTGTAAACGAAATGTCTTCAAATATATGCAAATAATAAAAGTAAGATTTCGGTCCGAAAACTAAAGCGCTAAGTGCTGGAAGGTAGGTCTGATTTGCATACTCCCTCCCCGCCCCGGCCCAATCTGGTCCACTGACTTCTGAGTTTTGGTCTCAGATGGAGCCATTGCCGTTTGAGACAAACAGGCCAAATTGATCACAGGCTGGGGCATCTGTTTTCAGTATCAGCTGACCTTTTGGGAAGCTCTGCTACTGCAGAAAGGCCAAAATTGGCAGGAGGAGGGCTGACCTTTAAGGCAAGTTCATTTACAGCCTGTCCTTATGCCTGAATTAGAGTATTTCATGTCAAGGACACATTCTTTCTAGAAATTCCTGATTATCAAAACATCCAAAGAGTGGGCTGATATGGTGAGTAGAAGGACTTGATTTGGCAAGTCAACATTTGAAATTGTTTCTGGTTCTGCTTTTTTTCACTTAATGTCTCTGTGGACTCCAGCAAGTTTCTTTGCCTACATTTAACTCTTGGTAACAATAAAAATCATCACTTTAACTTGTGAAGTTTTGATAAGGCAACTGGGTATGTAAGTGTGCAGATAGCTGGACACTTAATGGCAATTACAAAGGATTTATTTCCAATCTTACAGCACGTATTACAGCGTAGAGAAGCTGTTTAACCTTGGCTCAAATAATTAAATTGTGTCCTGAGTTCTCCCTTGGATACCCTGGCCCTTGGTCCAGATGGACATTGTTGAGGTATGCAGTCAATCTAATGTAGATTACAATAGTGACCCCAATTCTTCACCCCACCCTATATCCTCAGCCTTTAACTAGGTGAATTTGCAGTTCTTACTAAAGGAACAGAGTACACTGCCCCCTCCCTTGTCCTTGTGTTTGACCAGAATGAGCTTAGGCTGGAAAAGGCCTCACATGGTTTTGTTTGTTCTCTTGCTTCTTTGCCACCCTCTGAGGGCTCAGATATCTCACTTGTCCAGGTAGTTCCCAAAGAAGACACCTGGGGCGGAGGGGCCTCTGTCAATCAACAGCCATATAGTGAGAAGCAGAGCTATCTGGCCAGACTTAGACAGTCAAATCCTCAGCTGACCTCCAGATATATAAGCAATAATAAATGTTTTAGATCACTCTGTTATGCAATGCTGTTGCAGCAATACCTGACCATTACACCTGGTAATACAGAACGATGCTGCTGGTTGCTGAGAAAGCTCATAAAATGGAATTTTTCTTGGTAAAATTGTCTTGATCCAGGCTCCAATCCTTAGTTTGACAAGTTCAAGCCCAATCTAAGAGACTAATATATTCACCCATTGAGAAACATAATCATAAGGTAAACTAAAGTTTGCCTTGGTCTTTTGAGCACATACTCACCCTCTGGGCGGGAAAAGATTTCTCAGTGAGCATGGCATCAGAACAAAGGGAATCAGCTATACGATTTGAAATTAGGCTTTGATATCCATCTATGTCCATCTTCGCAATAAGAGAGCTGTCTGGCAGACAAACACATCATTCTGACAGGGTAATTTTTAATCTTGATAATGCTGAGATGAGATTGCCAACTTGTAACTTTCTAAATTTCCCTTCTCTAGGTCTGATTACCTTTCTTTTGTTCAAAACGTTTTTCTCCAAATAGTGTCACAGCAGAAATGCTAATATCCATTCTCCACTTCTTTTAGTGATAAGAGTCCTTGAATTCCAACTAGGCAGATATCCCCTCATCCACCCCCTTTAAAGACTGTTTCCCAGCCTTCCTTGCAGTTTGGTGCGCCCTTAATGATTAAGTTCCGACCAGTGGGTCACCCGCTCTGCTGCTGGCACTGTGGATGGAAGCCGCACAGTGCGAAGTTTATGTTCAGGAGTTGCAGGTGGAGGCTAGGAGCAAAGTGCATGGTGCTTCTAAATAGAGCTTCGAGCTCTGGAATCTCATGTAAAATCCTGAGTAGGCCTGCCAGCTGGGCAATGCAGAAGGGGCAAAGTCTTAACCTTCTCTTTTCCAGTGTATCCCACCTTTGTAAGTGAGGCAGGTTAGCACTGGGATTATGGACATGTGTATAAGATATGGGGATATTGAGCCAACTATTCACAAAACTGGAAGTAATTCACTTCTGACTTCAGACATGTCCCAGAAGCTGAATTAACCAAATTTTGGATAATGGATTTTTTTTTTATAGCAAGAAGACTTTAAAGTTTTCAGGACTGATCTTTCATCTCTATTTCCTTATTGTTTTTACTTTTGTTGATATGTAGTGCTTTTATGCTGTCGCGCAGTCGTGTCTGACTCTTTGCAACCTCATGGACTGTAGCCTGCCAGGCTCCTCTGCCCATGAGATTTCCCAGGCAAGAATACTGGAGCAGGTTGCCATTTCCTCCTCCAGGAGATCTTTCTGACCCAGAGATAGAACCCACGTCTGCTGCATTGGCAGGTGGATTCTTTACCACTAGCACCACCTGGGAAGCCCTTGCTTTTATGATGGTCTACAAAGTGAGGCACATAAAGTCCCTGTTTCTTGTTTATCTGATATTCATAATATAGATCAAATATGGCAGTTCTGGAAATACCCTTCAAATGAAAGCAAGATAAGTTGGAACTTGAGAATATATAAAATGAGAGAGATGATAACTATGTGGTATCAAATACAGTGGTTTTCAATAAGTAAAACAGACACAAGTATTCAATAGCTGGTATTCCTAGAAGTGATGCATATTTAACTTTTATTTCTTGGTCTAATTTAATTGATTCCAGTGATCCTGATATAAGAGCCAGTTGTTTCAAAAGTGAAGATCTAAATGAGCCATCCTTTCCCAGGTGTCAGTCAAATTAATCCAAGCCTTTGACTTCTTCCTGGTCTTCTTTATCTGACTCTGAAATCACTTTCCTGTTGGCAGTAACAGGAATCAATTCAGAACTCTGTACAGAACTCTGTAGCTGTGAACACAATGTGGCATGAAAACAACTTTTGAAAGTTTCTCCAATAAAAATTTACAGTGTAGGATTCTAACTATGGGTTAGATTTTGCAACCAAGTATAAATTTCTGTGTGGGAGGAACAGTCATTCCACTGTGAAGTGACTTGAAAGGTTTGGGAGTGGACCTCCTAAAGGTAAATATAATGTGCTCACCTAAGAGTCAAACTTCTGAGATTTCATCACTGGTGACTGATTTCTTTGGATTACCCAGTATTCCTTCTAGTCAGCCCTCTTTTAAAATGCAAATATTCCTGGGTGGATAAAAAACATAATGCCACTAAAACCTTACTGTGTACACACTTTTTTAGTTCTTTCTTTCTGACAGAATGGGACCTGGAGTATTCTAAGATCTGGTGAAGGAGTGATGGTAAAGGCAAATGTGTTTATGTAGGGAAGTTTTGGGTAGACAAGAAAGGATGGAGGGAAAGGAAAGGGGGTAAAATTAAAATAAAACTAAACTTTAAAATAAATTACAATAAAATCTTAAGATATTTCACAAATTTAAAATTGTTCACAAACTAATGTACAGTATAGAAATACTACTTTCTAAATTAGTTACTGCTGAACAATGTGACATTTTTTTAGTTAAAACTTTTTGTTACATGGAATTCCCTTGTGGTCCAGTGGTTAGGACTTGGCATTTTTCACTGCCTGGGTCCGGGTTCAATCCCTGGTTGGGGAATTAAGATCCCAAAAGCCATGTGGTGTGGCCAAAATTTTTTTAGTTTTTTACAAATATTTTCTGAATTCCTACAGGGAGGCAGTGTGTTAGGCATTTTGTGCTAGACCCAATTTCTTTTGGAGCATACGATACAGTCACAGACAAGTAAAAAACAGGTGAAAAGTTAAATAAAAACATAGTAGAGAAGACTTGAATAATTATAAAATATGTGCAGAAAGTAGTGCATGACTAATTGCCAAAAAAAACGGTGCAGACAGGAACTGTGTAAGAAGCTCAGAGGAAGAAGATGTCGCAGTGAAACAGAATGAAATTCAAGGCTTCAGAACAGAGGAGAGAGGCCAAGCAGGTATACAGAAGGAATTAGGTAAGCACTTATATCATTAAGGGAATTATCTGTCCAAGTTGTGGAATAATGTTTTATTCTTAGGTGAATCCATATGTGTAGTAACAGGACTGTTCTGATCATCCCTATAAAAATATGCACAGAAATCTAAGGTACCTGGGGCTTGCCTGGTGGCTCAGATGGTAAAGAATCTGCCCGCAATGCAGGAGACCTGAGTTCCATCCCGGGGTTGGGAAGGTCCCCTGGAGAAGGGACTGGTTACCCACTCCAGTATTCTTGCCTGGAGAATCCTATGGACAGAGGAGCCTGGCGGGCTATAGTCCATGAGTTCACAAAGAGTCAGACATGACTGAGCAACTAACACTTTTACTTTCTCTGTGGTACCCAGACAGATCTGCTGATACAATTCAAGGAGCAATCTTTATTATTTGAATCAGGCAAATGAAATTTTCACTGAACTAATTTTTCTCCATCCTTATAAATTAAATCAAATCATCTGACTGAAAAGCAAGAAATTAAGTTGCTAAACATTGTGTAGACAATATTAGGTCATTAAGTGACTTTTCAAATTTTTTTTCAGAACTTTAAAAAAATCAGGGTAGACATATTCATGTTTTCTTTAATAACATCTGATAACATTAATGGAAGTTGGCCTCAGAACCAATAAGATAAAAATAAAAATTCTATTACTTCTTGTTAATTCATGAATGTAGTATGCAAATAAACATCTGTCAAGTTAATGTTGAGTTAGACATGTTGGGTTTCAGTCATAATACAAAGATGGAGACACTTTTTATTAGGGATTCTTTAGTCATTATCAGGTGATAGCCAGTTTCCTTTAAACTCTCCTGGACCCTGTGCCTGGTGCTGCTCTGGGCAGCAGTATTCTGGGAATAAGGTGATTAACCCTGAACTGTGAGGCTAGCCCTTGCTACATGGATTAAGATATAGCTATTTTAGGTATGCCTTTGGTTGTATCAGAGTTGAAAATCTAGAGGACATGCTGTTTTGCCAAAAATGAGAGGGCTCAGTGTCGGTGGGAGAGAGGGGAGCTGAGAGGGTGTGAGGGCAGGTGGATACAATTCCCTGGGGTGAGAAAGGAGGGGAATGGAATGTGTACAGAGGCTCAAGGTTGATCTATTATCCTGTTTGCATCAACTTATGCTTTTGTATTGCACAGACAGACAAGCGGACACATACTTCTATGTAGATGAGAAGAAGAAAGTTTTCTCAAAGCAAGAAATCTCTAAAACGGTGGGTTTTTAAAATAAGATTTGAAGTTAGGGAGGAAATTGAGTAAGGAAAAAAGAAGCACTTCTTTATAGGGAAACCCTTCTTTATAGGGAAACCAGAAAGGTGATGGAATTTCAGTTGAGCTATTTCAAATCTTAAAAGATGATGCTGTTAAAATGCTGCACTCATTATGCCAGCAAATTTGGAAAACTCAGCAGTGGCCACAGGACTGGAAAAGGTCAGTTTTCATTCCAATCCCAAGGAAGAGCAATGCCAAAGAATGTTCAAATTATGATTCAATTATACTCATTTCACATGCCAGCAAGATTTTGCTCAAAATCCTTCAAGCTAGGCTTTAGCAGTTCGTGAACCAGGAACTTCCAGATGTACAAACTGGATTTAGAAAAGGCAGAGGAACCAGAGATCAAATTACTAACAAATGCTGGATCATAGAAAAAGCAAGGGAATTAAAAAAAAAATCTACTTCTGCTTCATTGACAATGCTAAAGCCTTTGACTGTGAGGATGACAACAAACTGGAATATTCTTAAAAAGATGGGAATACTAGACCACCTTATCTGCCTCCTGAGAAACCTGTATGCAGGACAAGAAGCAACAGTTAGAACCAGACATGGAACAATGGACTGGTTCAAGACTGGGACAGGAGTACATCAAGGTTGTATATTGTAACCTTGCTTATTTAATTTCTAAGCGGAGTACACCATGCAAAATGCTGGGTTAGATGAATTACAAGCTGAAATCAATATTGCTTGGAGAAATATCAACAACCTTAGATATTCAGATGATACCACTTTAATGACAGAAAGTGAAGAGGAACTAAAGAGCCTTTTGACAAAGGTGAAAGAGGAGAGTGAAAAAGCTGGCTTAAAACTCAACATTCAAAAAACTAAGGTCATGGCATTCAGTCCTATCACTTCATGGCAAATAGATGGGGAAAATGTGGAAACAGTGTCAGATTTCATTTTCTTGGGCTCCAAAATCAATGTGAACAGTGAGTGCAGCCACGAAATTAAAAGACACTTGCTCCTTGGAAGAAAAGCTATGTCAAACCTAGACAGTGTTTAAAAGAGCAGAGACATTACTTTGCCGACAGAGATCCGTATAGTCAAAGCTATGGCTATCCAGCAGTCACGTATGGATGTTAGAGTTGGACCATAAAGAAGACTGAGCGCTGAACAACTGATGCTCTCCAGCTGTGGTGTTGGAGAAGACTCTTGACAGTCCCTTGAAGAGCAAGGAGATCAAACCCAGTCAATCCTAAAAGAAACCAACCCTGAATATTTATTAGAAAGACTGATGCTGAAACTGAAGCTCCAATACTTTGGCTGCCTGATGCAAAGAACTGTCTTATTGGAAAAGACCCTGATGCTGGGAAAAATTGAGGGAGAGGGGAGAAGGGGGCGACAGAGGATGTGATGGTTGGATGGTATGACTGACTCAGTGGACATAAGTTTGAGCAAACTCAGGGAAGCAGTGATGGACAGAGAGGCCTGGTGTGCTGTAATTCACAGGGTCACAAAGAGTTGGACGCAACTTAGCAACTGAACAACAACAGCAGACAGGTCAGACTGTTTTTGACAGAGGTAAACTTACTTTGCTTTGTGTACTTTGCCTTTTGGTTTATGTGGAAGGGAGATCAGTTCCTTCTAAAACAAAACAAACATCAAAAAGGAAAATTTTTACTTCTTGCAATGACTGAAATTTACTTACTTAGGGAAAATCTGAGGTAAAATTATCACAGAGTTTATAATCACTATCTTCCTAAACCTGGAGACTGTGGTGTTAGAAATGGTCCAGATTAAGGCATTTGGGGCTCATTCAGGAAAGTGTGTTTGTACATCCATAAGACTATGGGATGCTATTGTTTTATTGTTTGTTTATATTGTTTATTTAGCATTTTTGTATGATCTAAGCAAGATCAATCATTATAAAACAATACAGTAAGTCCCCTAACATGTGAACCTTCGAGTTCCAAACTTTCAAAGATACAAATGTTGTGTTTGCATGTTCAATCAAAAGGTGTGAGTGGAACTGCAGCTCGCCCTCCATCTCCTGTTGCTGACCATCCTTCAGCTCTCCGTCTCCCCCCTCCTCTCCCTCCTCCAGCCGGCAATTCCAGCCCCTGTAAGCCAGCTGTTGTACTATACTACTGTGCTTTTCAAAGTAACTGTATTGTAGGATGAAAAATGCTTAATTTTTGTTTTTTTTAATGTATTATTTGTGTGAACAGTCCTGTACTATATAGTCGACTGTGTTAATTGGGTACCTAGGATAACTTTGTTGGACTTACAAACAAATTGAGCTTACAAATGTGCTCTCAGAATGGAACTTGTTTGTATGTGTGAGCAATGAAGTAGCCCATGTTAATATCTGACAGCTTTATAACAGGTGACAATAAGCCCGGTGACAATAAGCCCGGTGACAATAGCGCCATTTCCGTGCCAGCAGAGTTGCACACTCTGGAGATATCTTTGGTTTATCAAGGATTCTCAAATTACCTGATGTCTATGCCCTGCCCCACCTCCAGCATATAGAAGGCTCTGGACCATGGGCATCAAGATTTAAAGGATAAAGCTATAAAACCTCTCAGAATTTGCCACCCCCCAAAGATTTATCTGAATGCCTCACTATCAGTCTCACCGAGATCCTTTCTTCTCTTTGTTTTCTTAAGAGTTGGATAATTTCATCTCTCTTTTTAGCCTGTTTAAAGAGAGAAAAAGAAGTGGGTGAGTCTTTTGACTTAATAATAAAGCTTTGTGTCCATGGGAGGAGGGATGGATTTTTTCCCATTTTCCTTCTTGTATTTTGGGGCAGATATAAACAGTTGTTTTCCTTGATAGATTTATACTTTTCATCTATACAATTCAGTTTTATTCCAGAGGTGCTGCTTTACAAAATAAACTTGATTTCGATCATAAATGGAGGGAATTTTTCTTGCCCATATAACAATAACTTTCACTGGTTTTAGTACGTGAACCATGCTAAAAGCTTGATATATGTATTACATCATTATTTCCTTATAATAAGTTAGAAGTTTGACACTGCTGTCATCCATTTCACATATGAGGAGTGTGAAGAGTACTGAGGTTAAAAAATTTACCTAAGCTTTAAAGTGGCAGGATTGGATTTGATACCCGCTCTACTTCACAACAAAACCCAAGGTATCAGCCATTACACTAAATTGCCATTAAAAGGTAGCAAGGCACATCAGCCAGCTCAAACAGCATGCCAGCACTTGTTGCGATGGCATGAAGGCTTTCTTGAGCAGCTTGTATATAGAACAGAGCCTCACACCCCATTGCTCCTCTGTCTTAGATATTGAGACATGCATATGCTCAGGTGAGTTTTTTTAAAAGTAAAAAAAAAAAAAGTGCAGGCACAAAGATTTACCAAGATATAGACTGCACACAGTGCTTCCCTGGTGTCTCAGGTGGTAAAGAATCCACCTGCCATGCAGGAGACCCAGGTTTGATCCCTGGGTTGGGAAGATGCCCTGGAGAAGGAAATGGCAACCCATTATAGTATTCTTGCCTAGGAAATCCCATGGACAGAAGAGTCTGATGGGCTATAGTCCATAGGGTCACAAAGACATGACTGAATGACTAGCACTTTCACTTCACTTTTTTCAGACTGTATATAAAGAGGCAAATATAGGTACACATTTTTTTTTCCCCCATAGAATCCACATATGTTCAGTGTTGGAGATGGCCAGGCAGAAAATCGCATCTGGAATAATGAGAAGAACTAGGAAAGAAACCTGAGAATCTGACAAATGAAACTCATAGCTTCAAACAGCCAAGTACAGTGAGAGAAGCTTAGATCAAAGCTAGAAGGAAAATAAAACTGAGAATGGACATAGATTTGTCACAGCCAGGTAAAAGTACTAGGTCATCCATTCAAAGGTGTTGCACTACTTTCTTAGGACTCAGTAACAAAGTATCAAAAATCAGGTGGCTTAAAACAACAGATATTTATTGTCACACAGTTTGGAAGGCTAGAAGTCCAAAATCAAACTGTAGCAGGGCCATGCTCCCTCTGAAACCTGTAGGGGAATCCTTCTTTGCCTCTTCCTAGCTTCTGATCATTTGCTGGAAATCTGTGGCATCCCTTGGCTTGCAGCTGTGTAACTCCAATCTCTGCTTTCGTTGTCACATTGCTTTTTCTCCCTGATCCTACTTCCAAATAAGGTCATATTTCGATGGTACTGGGGATTAGGACTTCCACATATCTCTTGTTTCAGTGGGTCACACTTCACTCCGTTGCTAACAGATTGTGACCAGTTAGTCACAAAGAGTGGGACTCATTTAGCAACTGAACAACACTTCAGTCTATAATAAGCACCTATGATGTAATATTACTGTGCTAGGGGCTGGGCAAAATAAAATACCATTCCTGCTTGCAAGGTGGTGGCAGACTTGTAGGTAAAAGGACTACAGTGAGGTTAGAATAGGATGCAAATAGAGAACTGAAGAGGGACCCTTACACACAAGGGTGTGTATCTATAGCTGAGACTCAGAGGAGGTGATGTCCAAGATTAGACACGAAAGTATAGTCACCAGATAATATCACAGACAGGATGGGGAAGAAAGCTTCTAGGCAGAGGAGACAGGTGTGCAAAGCCCTAGAAACTGTGTATTGCTAAGTAATTCCTCAAGATGCTTCTTCAGTCCAGATGCAAAAGAAGCTGCAAAGTTTAGGCACACCCCACCCAGACGTGGGAGGGAGGAGGGGTGCTGGGCCTGAGTAATCAGTGGGGCACACTGCTGCTTTGGCTCTGCTTCATTCCATTCAAGTCATGTTAGTCTTGCTTTCTAAGAACCTACAAAGTTTTAGTTTTATTTATTTTGGGACAAGATTTCTATTTTTCACTTGAATTTAAGGCATCATGTATCATAGATATTGAAAGAAGAAAAGGCATCATATATCACAGATAATAAAAAAATTCAGAGTCCTTCAAAAACTAAGCTAATTTTTTCCAGCTATACATATACATGTATCTATTCTTTTTCATATTCTTTTCCCATTTAGGTTACTACAGAATATTGAGCACTGTGCTATTATCTATTATCCCTGTGCTATTATCTATTCCCTTGCTTGCATGCTTAGCATGCTTCGTCGCTCAGTGGTGTCCGACTCTTTGCGACCCTATGGACTTCAGCCCACTAGGCTCCTCTGTCCATGGGATTTCCCAGGCAAGAATACTGGACTGGGTTGCCATTTCCTCCAGGGGATCATCCCCATTCAGGGACAGAACCCGCATCTCCCACGTTCTTTACCACTGTGCCACCTGGGAAGCCCTTGCTAGTTATCTATTTTAAGCGTGCATATGTCATTCCCAAACTCCCAATTTATCCCCCTCTACCTTTCCCCTTTGGTATCCATAAGTTTTATTTTCTAAGTCTGTGAGTCTGTTTCTGACAAACTAGGATAATTTAAAAGTATCTGTCAATTTGCTAAGGATTGAATAAAATAGCATTTATAGAAAAAGACCTGGGATACTTTCAATGTAGGTATTAGGTGGCACTAGTGATAAAGGATCCACCGGCCAATGCAGGGGAGGTGAGAGATGTGGGTTTGATCCCTGGGTCAGGAAGATCCCCTGGAGTAGGAAATGGCACCCCACTCCAGTATTCTTGCCTGGAAAATTCCATGGACAGAGGAGCCTAGCAGGCTACATTACAGGGGGCTGAAAAGAGTCGGACATGACTGAATGACTGAGCACATTCAATATTAACTTTCTTTTCTAACTTTCCCATTACACATGTAATCAGTGGGAATTAAATGCTCCCATACTGTGATTACATAGCACTTTATACTTTTATTACAGTATTGATCTTACTTTGCCTGCTTTATCTCATAGATGCTTCCATGTCTCTTTCAAAGTCTTACTCATCCTTTTATCCTTCCTTCAAGCTTAGCAGTGCCTTGTCAATGATACTCAATGAATTTTTGCTGAATTGATTGAGTCATGAAATATGAATGAATGAAACCATTACATTGTCTAATACACAATTACTAGTTTAAGCAAAAACAAAAGTCTTAGAGATTGAAATTAAACAGTAGGAAGTTTAGTTCTTAAAATCCCCTATAAACAAAACAAATATCATTATTTTCTGTGTAATAGAAAATATTGGTTAGTCACAGGCAAGATATTAATATATTGTCATAATGCTTCTAGTATAAATGGTCAAATATTTAGTTATAAGATTCTAAATAATATTAAGGTAAAATTCATTCATTTGAATTTTGATTTCATGTCCTTTTTTATTATAATGGATTTTAATATATAATCAGTTTTATAATATAATGCACCAGAAACAAAGTTTTCAAATATTATTTGATTTTTGCTTACTCGATATGTTTCCTGGGAATAAATAACAAAACTATTGTAGGCAACTGTGTCATCAGAACAAAAACATTTCCAACTACTTTAAGAACTCTCAGCCAGGACAACTAAATAAATTCAGTGGTAAGAGAAAATTCTTACAGTTTACCTTATTAGTTGGAATAATAATTTACTTGTTAATTTCATAACAAAAGAATTCTCATTTCTAACTACAGTGCATTTGTTGTGTTCATTAATGGAATTTTATAAGGCATTTAAGTCATTTATTAATTCTTAAAATGATAGCATAAGGGGGTCAGAATTTATATTTACAATATTTTTTCTTTTTTTTCAGGTTTGTTGCAATATAACTGACATACAACACTGTATAAGTTCAAGGTGTACAGCAGAATTATTTGACATATATGTTGTGATATGATTACCACATGAGTTTAGTTACCATCCATTACCTTATATAATTAGAAACTTTTTTCCTTTTGAAGAAAACTTTTAGATTGACTCACTTAGCAACTTTCAAATGTATCAATACAGTATTTTTTTTCAACTACAGCCATAATGTTGTATATTACATCCCCAGGACTTTATATCTTATATTCATAATATTTTAATACTGGACATTTTCTTATAATCTAAAGTTTAGTTATATTACTTATATTTATATACTACTCCTGAGAAAATAAATTACAGAATAAAAAGTAATTTTAGGAAATTAGGATTTGACAATACATAAATTTAATATCTCATAGAAGGTTAATGAATTTTAGTGTCACTTCAAGAATTAAGTTGCTGAGTTCCTATTTTTGGCTTTTTAGAGCCAAACAGTTTGGGTGGCAACATATATTAGTTGCCAAACACATTTGGGTGTGAATCCCAATTCTGTGTGATTAATGGCAAATAATATCTTAACTAATCATCCTCTAACTGTAATCACTATCCCATTTGGTTAGAGGTTTGTGACTTTGGGTAAATCAAAGAACCATTTCTCTGGGTATTGATTTCTTATCTGTAAGGAAAGGTGTGAAAACTGGAGATAATACAAACATTGCTTAACAATGCATGGCATATAGTGGATATTTATTAAATGGCAGCTATTGTTATTATAGAAAAACATTTTTCAATGCTTTTAAAATGTGAAAAGTGGGAAAAAGGGGAAGGATGTGTACCACCTTCTGTGTACAAGCATGAAAGATTTCTGATGATTCAACCTCAGGTAAATCAGTGAATAGTGTTGGAAGGAAGAAGGAAGAAACAAGAAGGGATATCTAAGGTATTATTTGTCTTTTATGCAGTAGAAATCCCTCTGTTACAAAGTCTCCAGTATATTATAAACTTTCTTCTCAGTTAAATTTCAGTT